CATACTTGTTATAATTTTATTAGGTTCGACTGACTTTAATGTGCGAGATTCTTGTTATAATTATATTAGTTTCGACTTACTTTGATGTGAGACATATTTGTTATAATTATATTAGTTTCGACTTACTTTGATGTGGACATACTTGCTATACTTATATTAGTTTCGACTTACCTTGTGACTTCGGTGAGTCTGCTGTGTAGTTTGTGAATGCGGTGTAAGTTTCGGTGCTAGAGGGACAGGAAGGAGATGGAGTCGGCCACGTGGTGCTGGTGGTACTTCCGTTACCTGGGTAACAACTACTGGAATCGGACGTACTATTTGGAGACCGTGGCTTTCGACGACCATAGTATGTAAACTCCAAGAGAAGGGTCTCTTGCACCGTATCACATCCCTGAAACAAGCTCAAACATGTGAACTCGGCACAGGGCCTACTACTATATATATATATATATAGTAGATAATAAATAAATAAGTCCTTGCGAAGGAAAATATAGAATAAAACAAAAATCATTTAGATCGTCCGCTAGGCCTTTCTGCCTTCTAGGGCTTCTTCAGGCGGAATATATATATTTTAAAACTATATTTATTTTACAACAATTATGAAACAAGTTATTTCAACATATATTAATCACACTTGTTGGCCCTGATGTTAGCGCGCGGGGGTTTCCTTATGGGAGGAAACCGGAGTACCTGGAGAAAGCCCACGTGATCGGGCAGGTGACCCCATACATTTTCACGTCCGACCGGGGAATCGAAACCCGGTCGCCTTGGTGAAAGCGAGTGCGCTATCCACTGAACTACCCGACCACCCGGGTAAAACGTGTAATGTTATATTGAACGCTAGCAACTGAAGATTACATAAAATTATTTTATATTGTCGGTCGTTGTGATGATGCATATCCGCTGATTGGTTGGTTTACCGTCACAAATGTATACACCCTAATATTCTGCGAGAGCTTGTACGAAATACATGTCGTGTGTAACCATTGTATGAAAAAATAATACTGGTAAATAGCAGTGATACAATACCAATACATTGTAATACTTTCCTAGTAATACTACATTGCAATATTATTTTGAAATGACAATATATTGAGATAATTTTCAACTAATTCTTTTTTGGGTTTAAGCATAGTTATGAAATAGTTTTATAGAAAAGTTAAGAATGAATGATTTTTAATCAATAATATATTTGCTTTGCGTAATAATTTCCATAGCAACATAAAATGTGTACTTTTCGTATTTTTTATATAAAACAATTGTTAAAAAACGACTTTCAATCTCTATGAATGCCGTATATTGTAATTTCCCCAGATGGAGATTGCTGGTGCTGGTTACCTCCTGATTCGCCAGCCTATAACAGCCCCGCCTCTCGCGCTCATTCCGGGCGTACGCATGTGTGTTTTTATGGATCACCTCGCCATCATTTTCCAGCTGATGAAGAGTAGCCATCATAGTCTCCAGCAACTGTCCCTCCGTCACCCGGACAGAGCAGTGACCCCGCCATTTGTCGGAGTACAGGAAAGCCCAGAATCCTCCTAGGCAAATTTCAATGGAATAATTTACAATATTGCATATATTTTCCCCAGACAGTTTATGGATTATTAGCGGTATGCATCTCGAGAACAAAAAAAATAGTATACAGAAATTCCTTAACCAGAAAGGATAATAAACATGTTCATGCCCTTGAGGTGAGATTGGGAATCAAAACCCTCTGGGAAAGATTCTTAAGTTGTCAAACACTCGACAAAGCCTCGTGTTTGGCAACTTAAGAATCTTCCCCCTAGGGTTGAGACGGGGGATTCCCCAATTGATAACAATTGTAAGACGTCACGTCAATAATGAGTCTGTAACGTCATCATTGCATTATGTATCTGATAGGATCACCAGGGTAAGAGAACCATTCACCACCTTGAGATGAGACAGGTCATCTCGACCCCTGACGCAAGTTTCTTAACAAGCCTCGTGTTTGGTAGCTTAAGAATCTGCCGATCACGAAGGGATTGACACATTTTGTTTTATCCCACATAGGAAACCAAGTGACCCCGGCTCGGTGACTACATTACTAGGCAGTGACCCTGGCTCGGGGACTATATTATTAGGGAGTGACCCCGGCTCGGGGACTACATTACTGGGGAGTGACCCTGGCTCGGGGACTGCATTACTAGGGAGTGACCCCGGCTCGGGGACTACATTACTGGGCAGTGACCCCGGCTCGGGGACTACATTACTAGGGAGTGACCCCGGCTCGGGGACTACATTACTAGGGAGTGACCCCGGCTCGGGGACTACATTACTAGGGAGTGACCCCGGCTCGGGAAATACATTACTAGGCAGTGACCCCGGCTCGGGGACTACATTACTAGGGAGTGACCCAGGCTCGGGGACTACATTACTAGGCAGTGACCCCGGCGCGGGGACTGCATCACTAGGGAGTGACCCCGGCTCGGGGACTACATTACTAGGGAGTGACCCCGGCTCGGGGACTACATTTACATGTCGTGTTAATTACCCGGGGATCGATTTACATGGGGGGGTGGGGGGTGGACGGGGGTGTCTTGTTAATAACCGGGGGCCGATCGGGCCGATTTATACATCATGTTAACTGCCGGGGGCCGATCGGGCCGATTTATATATAACATCATGTTAACTACCGGGGGCCGCTCGGGCCGATTTATAATACATCATGTTTACTGCCCCTGGCTCGGGGCCTACATTACTAGGGAGTGACCCTGGCTCGGGGACTACATTTACATGTCGTGTTAATTACCCGGGGATCGATTTACATGGGGGGGGGGGGGGGGGCGGGGGGTGTCTTGTTAATACCGGGGGGCGGATCGGGCCGATTTATACATCATGTTAATAAGCGGGGGCCGCTCGGGCCGATTTATAATACATCATGTTTACTGCCGGGGGCCGATTAACTCACTCTACAACCAATGGAAATAATCAAATATATAAGATTTTTATTTTAGGGCAAATAGTCAGCCATGATGATTTCAGGAACTGCTTAATTTCCTTTTTATAACCTTAAATGTTATAAACGAAACTCTTTTTTGGACTTTGTGGAACGTTTCGACAGTAGTTTTATTACAGAAATGGCAGTTAAATGATTGTATCATCCATATTAGTCAGTTTCACCTTACAATTCAGCCTACCTATTTCCAGCTCCCTATGCTCCAGCGTGTCCTTGTCCAGTAAACTCTCGGTCAGTACAGTGGACTGCAGAGGCGGGATAAAACGTGTGGGCGACTCTGGGTGTGCGTCCAGCGTCTCTTTCTTCTCCAAATAAGGATTGACCTTAAACCAGAGCCGTTTGAGGTTCTGGTTGAGAACACCTCGCGCTCGGCTGTACAAGGCATCATGACGCTCGTTCATACCTACTGAATGGCTAAAATCACTTACGAGTGGTCAGCCTGGAAACCAACACAGCCATGCTGTCTGTAAGGTTGTTACGGAGTCATCTTATTATGACGTCACAATATCATATCGACAGTGACGTCATTCACTGATTCATTTATAGCATCATACTATCCATTATATGACTAGAAACACACGGGTATACAATGGAGCTATACGCCTCCGTGCCTTACATGTGGTTATACAATGGAGCTATATGACACCGTGCCTTACATTTGTTTATATNATACAATGGAGTTATATGCCACCGTGTCTTACATGTGGGTATACAACGGAGCTATATGCCACTGTGACTTACATGTGGGTATACAATGAAGCTATATGCCGCCGTGCCTTACATGTGGGTATACAATCGAGCTATATGCCACCGTGCCTTACATGTGGGTATAAAATGGAGCTATATTCCGCCGTGACTTACATGTGGGTATACAAAGGAGTTATATGCCGCCGTGCCTTACATGTGGGTATACAATGAAGCTATAT